TTTTTTGTAGAGGGCGTTGTACTGTAGTAGCAAAAGTTCAACGGGGTCAAAGCACCGTCCGACCTCGCTACGACCGCAACTGGCAACTGATTGTCGTGGACTGGACATGTTATCAAGGGAGTCGTAAACCTACGACTTCCTGGTGCATCTACATGTACTTGTACTTGTAGAACATGTACAACTGTATGGAATTTGATGCGAACAGGTGGATTATTCCAGTTTTATGCGATTCGTATGCAATTTGCGTCGAATTATGCGATTATTCGATTTTGGTAGGAATTATGCGAAAAATTATGCTAGCATAATCTGTCAAGGCCTAGTCAGGTCACCATGTTTCTGTAGCCGGCTAGCCGTGCATGCTCACTGTACGTCTGTAGATCTACTCTGTAGATTGTACTCTGTAGATTGTACTCTGGACTGTAGTCGGTAGTGACCATGGTGACTGTAGACTAGACGTGTGTACAATCAACACCAGCTCGACGAGCACCGTCCGTAGATCTACCGCGCGTGCAACCGCTTTTGGACGATCGTTTCAGGCCGCGCGCGGCCCGAGCCTAGCCTAGCTAGCCCCGGCGCCCTGCCTTTTATTTTTCGAAACCAAGGTCGAAACTTTTGAGGGGGGGGCGCGCCCCCCGCCCCCCCCCCCCCCTCCCCCTAAACCCGCCACTGCTGTAGCTGACTAGTAGTAGTACTATACTACTAGTACAGTCATGTACATGTGCTAGTAGTAATGTAGTTACATGACGATGCCCATCTATTTTACTCTAGTTATGTCACATGTATACGCACACGCAGTCAAGCACTTCATGACTCTTGACTGTTTCCGCTCCATTGAATGTTGCTGACAAGCCCACACACTGCTGATCTTATCGCTTCCCAATTCCCTCGCCCGCCACTTGTGAAGAAGCAACACGTCGTTAGTTGTGTCGACTCCAAGGCGACAGTCATGTGACATACGAGAAACGCGTAACCTCGTCGTTCCAGTCACTCACACTCGGTCAGTACCGCTGCTCATCCAGCCCCTTTGGCTTTGGCCTTGTATTGCCGCTATCGCGGCGCGGGCTGGATTCCGCGGTACTGCCCTCGAGTCGTACGAGGTGAATAGCAATTTCTGGACTTGAAAATAAAATAGAGGCCCACTGGCTGTGTGTTTTACATTTTTCATATCTTTTTGTATCTATTGTATGGCCTAATCCTTCATCTTTCCAAATATGTGACAATTGCTCATGCTGTGATCCCAGAGACTTTATAGCAGGTTGTTTTCGACAGGCCAATTTTTTGGCCTAAATTCCAGTGTATGGAATTCTGGACATGAAAGTAAAATAGCGTCAATAGGCATCCTATACTGCACCATTTTTGTTATATTTTCTATTGGTGGACTGCAGTTGGCCTCTTCACACTTCCAGCCAACAGGTCCAAGACTATACAGCGTCTGAAGTGGAGTGCACATGGGGAAGCCAACGATTCGTCCATTACTTCTTATTTTACTCAAAATTCAAAATTCTCATGCGACATAGTACCACAAAACTCGTTGAAATGCCTCCCAAGAAAAGGCTATCAACAAGGCACCGACACGAGGAGAAACTACAACAGCCCAGCTGTCAACTACAACAAGAAAAAACTTCATCAACCTGATTGACTTGACTCTACATGCGACGAAAAATTATTTTACTCGAAATGTCCAGAAATGTACAATGTCCAGAAATAGCAATTCACCTCGTACTCGTGCAGGAACCTGTACTTCCCGTATGTCACATGACTGTCGCCTTGGATTCGACCAATGGGCAATGACAGATCAAATTACGCGGGCTGGAAAGCGCGATCCTACCTGCTGAATGGTGATGGTACTACATGTACAACAATGTAGTTCCACTGCCCGTCGTCACGATTAGTGACGATTAGTGACGACGGGCAGTTTTTTGATTGATGTACTGACCTGTAGTCCGTTTGTACGGTTGTCGAAGTCACTCTCAGTCTCACATACTAGTCATACAGCTGTACAGGACTCGAGTCACAGCATGGTTCATGTTTTGATGTAAATAAAGTTTGTGAGCGATCTCCTTGCGACCTTGGCTTGGGTGCATACGGGAAACACGTTCCAGTCACTCATCCTCGGCCAGTACCGCTGTTCATCCAGCCCTTGCCGCTATCGCGGCGCGGGCTGGATTCCGCGGTACTGCCCTCATACTCGTGCAGGAACCTGTACTTATGCGTGGTGAACTGTGCCGACACCCACGGTCAACTGGGTACTCACAGCTCGGAGTGAGGGTAACGGATGCAGTTTACAGGGTTAACCGGTTATGGGCGGTTACACGGCCGATTGGTTGAGAGACTCACCTACTCTCCCCTGACTCTGTCTGCATTTGCCACTAGTAAGGGCCGGGTTCCACTGCGGCTCCGCGGCACGTAATTTTTTGGGTTTTACCATGGTAACCGCGGCTCGAGCGAGTGCATGCAGCGCTAGCGCCAGTAGCGGAGTGGTGGCCTGTCACTTGTCAGGGCGCGCGTTGGGTGTACAGTGGTGGCCGGCGGAAGCGAAGGCTAGTTTGTGTGTTTCTGAACATTTAAGCGATGCCAACGCGAATCCCGCGAATTATTTCTATCTCCTTGGCTTGGGTGCATACAGGAAACATGTTCCAGTCACTCATACTCGGTCAGTTCCGCTGCTCATCATCCAGCCCTTGCCGCTATCGCGGCGCGGGCTGGATTCCGCGGTACTGCGTAGCGTACTCGTGCAGGAACCTGTACGTGCAACATAAACGCAATACTACCTGTACCAATACCAATACCAATAATACCTGTACAGTGTACGTGTACATCCTGAAACTTTATTCATAATTATTTGGTGGCAAAAACGCACCTGGCGGCAAATACACGCCGGCCGGCCAGATCAGAACAACAGTAAGAAAGGAGACAAATGCCAAAATGGGTGTAAATACGTGTACGTGTAGTGTCTCTGCAGTACTGAATTGTAGCTGACTAATACGCAAGAGGTACACAAAAGGAAGTATATAGGGCTGTTTTTTTGTTGTAACTCAGAGTTTCATGGCAAAAACCAATCATCAGACAACATAAGGAGATTAGAAAAACACAGGTATATGAAGGCAAGCAGAGGAGATAGAATAATTCAGTGCAGACAATAATTATGATAATCATTCAACACCTCCCAGAGGCAGTACGCTCTGACGTGCCAGAATCAACATCTCAGGTGCTGGGTGAAACATGAACACGCACACTCATCCACACACACATACACACACACACTAATCCACACACAGCCTCTCGTTCTCACACACGTGGTCCACACTCCCGCATTATCACACCTAAACACATGCGCACGCACACACACACACACGCACCAAAACACACACATGCACCACACACACACACATACACACAGCCTCTCGTTCTCACACACTCCACGCTCCCGCATTATCGCACCTAAACACACACACACACACCAAACACACACGCACCACACACGCATGCACCACATACACATACCTACACACAGCCTCTCGTTCTCACACTCTCCACACTCCCGCATTATCGCACCTAAACACACACACACACGCGCGCGCGCGCTCGCGCCAAACACACACGCACCACACACACATACACAGACACACAGACACATACACACATACACACATACACACACACGCCAAACCCATAGCACGTCATACAACATCAGCAAACGATGCAGCCTGTGCCTCATGGAGAAGTTTCACATCCTCACCACTCCAAATGCCATCTCACTTAACAAAAGGAGCGAGTTAGTATCAAAGTGCCGCCACCAGCGCAAGTTTTTGCTGGGTTATGAAGTGACATAACGTGTATGGGTTTGGCGTGTGTGTGTATGTGTGTATGTGTGTGTGTGTGTCTGTGTATGTGTGTGTGGTGCGTGTGTGTTTGGCGCGCGCGCGCGCGCGTGTGTGTGTGTGTTTAGGTGCGATAATGCGGGAGTGTGGAGAGTGTGAGAACGAGAGGCTGTGTGTAGGTATGTGTATGTGGTGCATGCGTGTGTGGTGCGTGTGTGTTTGGTGTGTGTGTGTGTGCGTGTGTGTGTGTTTAGGTGCGATAATGCGGGAGCGTGGAGTGTGTGAGAACGAGAGGCTGTGTGTATGTGTGTGTGTGTGGTGCATGTGTGTGTTTTGGTGCGTGTGTGTGTGTGTGTGCGTGCGCATGTGTTTAGGTGTGATAATGCGGGAGTGTGGAGTGTGTGAGAACGAGAGGCTGTGTGTGGATTAGTGTGTGTGTGTGTGTGTGGATGAGTGTGCGTGTTCATGTTTCACCCAGCACCTGAGATGTTGATTCTGGCACGTCAGAGCGTACTGCCTCTGGGAGGTGTTGAATGATTATCATATTGTCTGCACTGAATTATTCTTCCTCCTCTGCTTGCCTTCATATACCTGCGTTTTTCTAATCTCCTTATGTTGTCTGATGATTGGTTTTTGCCATGAAACTCTGAGTTACAACAAAAAACAGCCCTATATACTTCCTTTTGTGTACCTCTTGCGTACTACGCTCTGCCCATTCCGGGCATTTGAGCACTATTGCAGGTTAAGGCGCACACCCTCTGTGTAGCTGACTAATACTAACGTTGCTGCATGCACATGTATTTTTACTCTAGTTATGTCACAGCTACATGTACGTACATGTACACACACACGCACTGCATCCTCTGCATGACACTTGTCCCCTCCTTCGCTGACACGCCTACACCGCTGATGTTTTCTTTTCTCACCACTTACTAGACTTGGTACTTGAGAAGAACCATGCATCGACCAGGCGCCAGGCGCGAACTGATGTTGGTGGTGGTGAGAAGGAGAGCTCTGTGCCAGAACTTCGCAGCCTAGAGAGCGTGTGTGGGCAGGCGTGTGTTTACCGCCATATTGCCAGGTGTGTCTTTGCCACCATATTTATCAACTTGAGAAGAAGTAACAGTAAACACGTTAGTTGTGTTTCCCTTGCGCTTGCTCGATTGCATGCTACAATCATCTAGTGAAGTAGTAGGTAGTAGTTATCTTTGCTACACAATCTTTGCTACATGTAGTTTAGATCATCGTACTTGAAAGTACTACTACTACTACTAGTAGCTGAATGCATTTACTGATTTACTGCAGTCCTGCCAGGTAGTTCTTCTTGAAAAAGGTTAAGAAATGTATTGACGATGGATCGCTACCGCAACTGACAACCTCAGCGTCTCCTCCATTCGCCATGCCTTGACAACAGAGGTAAGACGTAAGTAGAGTTTTCTTATAGCTATGAATAGGATGAAGGCCGCAGACATCACGCAACTACGTTACTTGTTTGACATGTATTACTGTGTATTTTATAACAAAAGTTTTGTTTTTTCACGGCTGAGCGTAGCGAAAGAGTGCAAAAAACGTATTTTTCACTCACAAATATTTTCGTGCATTTGCTCTTGTTCTGCGCAACTCCGTTGAACCTGCCATCGTGGTCTTTGTTTTTCCTCGTGGTAGTTGAAGTTGCCCGCCCACCCACCCTGGTTTCATGGGAGTCGTCCGCTGTTCTTCTTGACAATCTATGCCTATGTGTGTGGCTTATGATTATGACATACACCGGTTATTACATACCATTCCTTGCTATCTCTATTCTTGGGTCTGACTGGCAGCGGGGCAGGAATTAATGAAAATAGAAAGGTTTTTTGGCCGAAAGGCGTGTTTTTCCTCTAGCCCGGTTGAGCGGTCGCGGCTAGGAATGTAGGGAGTCATTGTTTTTCAGGCGCTCCCCTGCTGCCCAGTCACCCATGCTCACCACTGGCCATGCTGTTTCACTTGATTTCACGGCCTTTTCTCCCGCTTGCTGGCGGTTCTTTGATGGATTTAGATGTTTTTCGGCTATTTATCTATTCTGTGGCTGCGAGTGTGGTTTTTTGCTTCTACTCATTTCTGGAAAACCACCACGGTGGTGAGTGTGATTGCTCTGGTAGACCACTACCCCATGTACTGAACAGTCGCTTTGTGAGTGAAAAATATTATTGAAAACCCATTTTTTGGGTTTTCAATAATATTTTTGTTATAAAATACACAGTAATACATGTCAAACAAGTAACATAGTTGCGTGATGTCTGCGGCCTTCATCCTATTCATAGCTATATTAAAATTATTATCTCCACGTAGGTTATTAGAGCTTTCTTCCTTACCTTTAAGTTCTTATGATATACAAATAAATAATGCATAAAAATTACATTGCTGAAAATGTAGTTTCCAGGTTCATAAAGGATTCAGCGACAAAATATTGAACATACATGTTAGTATCTAGCTCTTCCGTCAATGCATCCAACGTGTGTACCCAAACGTGTAAAAAAGACAAACACTCAATTCCCTCAAGTTTTTTTAGGAAACAATAAGATCAACAACGAAGTGATTTACAAACATAAGTAGTTGACGTGACCAACGTGTAGCCGGGGTGTTCCGACGTGGTGAAGGCCTACCCATGGCCACGTCGGGACATCACCAACCCCGTCTACAGAGAGCACCTTCTCGCGACAGTGTCATGGTGATGACAAAATCTGTATACAGCTGACGAGCTGAGAGAAGGACGCCATGGGCAGA